GGAACACAAGCAGGGGGAGTGGGAGAGGGAGAAGCAGGATTCAATTCATTCTCTAGGTGTCTTTTAAATATTTTTGCTGTAAAAAAAAAAAAAAAGAAACTGAAAATGCCTCTTGCTCCCAAACCTTGTATAAACTATAACCACTCCCAATCCCAAGTCCTCATTTTACCACCAGCTGACATAGTCTCTTTACTATCTTATCTCTTTCTTCCACTGAGATGTGCAGGAGTCACAGAGTCTCTTAGCTTCGCTTGGCTCACTGCAGTACTCCCAGTGCTCCGAACAGCTCAGGCTTCTAGAAAGCCAGTACTTGAATTAAGATCAAGAAACCCTACGTTCACACCCAGTCAGTTAGGTCAGCAAGGAAACACTCCAGATCATGCTTTTCTTAAACTTTCTGCAAAACTTCAGTTAAAATTTTAAATTTTCTGCTTTTAAAATTTCAGTTTAAACCCTCTCTCTGTATTAACTGTTTTGTTAATATCTTTGGTCTTGTTTCTTTTCTTCATTGGTCACAGTGTGACCTCCTCTTCAAATTCGCTGTATATATTTTATTTTTTTCTCTATTGCCAAAATAAGCTGTAGCCATCAAAACTATGCTATTACTGTCTATGGAAACATCACAGCTGAGAGCTCCCCTTTTCTCTTCAACCCAAGAGAAAAGAATTAAACACACACAAATGATTAAATTATTCCTATTAAATCTCTGAAAGTTGGCTAGAAATTCCAGCAGAGACCGTTCTCATGAGTGATGAAGGGCATTTTTCTACTTTTAATGGAGCAGCAAGGAAATACGGTGAAAAGGCAGGCGTAGAAATATGGTATAATCTTGGCTGTCCAGTTTCAAAGTACTTTAGTGAAAGAAAGGGACCTAGATTTTATTAGTAGCTAACTTTTTCATTTATCCATTGGCAAAATAAGAATCCTAGGCTTCGTAATAGTTTATAGCTTGTTGTTCTGTCTAAACAATCGAGCTCTGGTAATAGGTCATCCAGCAATGCCCAATCCTCCAACATAAAATTTCAAATAAACGTAAGTAAAAAGTTTCCACACTTGGTAGTATCTGCATGTTTTGGGTGTATGTGTGTTTTTCCTTTTTTCTTTTTTTGCCCAAGCCCCAGGATAGTTGGTAACAGAAGTGAGATGATGTTAAGTCATTAAGATGTTACATCTTATAACGTACTTGATTGCAAAAATGACGCACTGTGGAGTCTGTTTCTCGATCACGAGGGGAAACGCACTTTTCTCATTGCAGCTTCCTCCAGGTCCTTGAAAGTCCTCAAGAATTCCTCCAGCAGCGAGTGGCCCGGCGAGCCCGGCGGGGCCGGCAAGGGCAGCTCCCTGGACTCGGACGAGTGCAGCCTGAGCAGTAGCACCCAGAGCAGCGGCTGCGCCCCGGGCGGGAGCAGGCAGGAGTCCCTGCAACAGCCCCGGCCAGGCCTGGCTGATCTGTCAGACAGTCTCATCAAGGAGAGTGACATTCTGAGCGACGACGAGGACGACTACCATCAGACTCTCAGACGGGGCAGCCCTACCAAAGACATTGAAATTCAGTTCCAGAGACTGAGAATCTCCGACGGCCCCGATGCAAAGCCAGCCGAACAGCAGCCTGGCACGGAGGGCCGGCCCAACGGGGAGCAGCCCAAGCTGGTGCGGGGGCACTTCTGCGCCATTAAGCGGAAAGCGAACAGCACCAAGCGGGACAGGGGAACTTTGCTGAAGGCACAGATTCGCCACCAGTCCCTTGACGGTCAGTCTGAAAATGCCAACCTTGATCTCAGTTCTGTCCTCCAGCGAGAGTTCAGTGTCCAGAGTTTAACCTCGGCGGTCAGCGAGGAGTGTTTTTATGAAACCGAGAACCACGGGAAGTTGTAGTGCCGTTTCGATCCAGATGTGGGCTCGATGGCTCGTTTTGCTTTGAAACTGGTGGTCAAGTGGAAACGGCAGAAAAACTACTCATTATTGGGTTTTGTGCGGCGTACATTTTCTCCACAAAATAGTTGTAAAGATCTAAGTTATTTTAATTTATTGTAGATCAGAAAACTAGATTGAACTGATCAGAATCTGTAAATTAGTTTATAGCCCTTTTGAGCAGGTATCAAAATGACTTAGGATCCTTAAAAATGCAATCTATTTTAATTTATGTGGAAAAAGTAAGATGGGGGAGTTGTGATTAATAGGTCATTGTTTTTTTTCCCAATCCTCTGGGCATTTTCTTTGAGCTGTTAGTTTTCGCTTTATTTAAAGCATATTTATTTTAATCTGGGTGAGGGGCACAATGTGCAGATCTTTCATTTTTGTAAGGTTGTTAACAGATGCCGTTTATACTGAATATGTCATATCTATGCAGTATATATATTAAAAGAAAGCTTGTACTGTATCTTATTTGATTATATTTATTTTCTCTACCAAGCTGTACAGTAAAAGGGAAGTAAGTCACATATGGTAATCGTATTTTTATTGTCCTTCTGTAGAAGACAAAAAGTACACATCTGAGCAGCTTAACATTGTGGAAAGCAACATTCGATACGCTCTTAGAGTCTGTCTCTCTCCTTGTCGTCCTCTTTTTCCTGAGTTTTGCTTTTATTTTGTTTGAGTTCTTCTCTGAAATTATAAGCAAAGAGGTGTGGGTCTTCATCACACATTTTTCGGTATACATCACACAGCCTCTTAAAATGTGAAACAGAGAGCTGGCTGGGCCTAAGGGTAGGGTCCACGTCTGCCAACTCTAACAGTTTTCCAGTGCTTTCCACGCGCTGAACTTCAGGGAATAACATTCTGAGGAGAGAAAATAATCCAAATTTTACTTAAGGAATTCCTTAAATCATGATGCTTCCTTCTACTCTCATTTGAAAATGACATCGAGAGGGAGTGGAGGCTGCGGCTGGAGTGTCCTCGGGGCCCCAAGCCAATGGAGAGGGATCTTGATCGTGCCACTAGGCAACAGGTACAAAGGACCACTGAAGGAAGAGCTCATCTGACCTGTGACGTGTGCCCACAAGGGAAAATACCTGCCAAAGCTCAATCAATACAAGTACCTTTAAGGTAAGTTTAAAGAAACATCTATTCAGTTGTATTCTATAGAAATGTTTGATTTGCCTCATTTTAATATGAAACTTGTCTTACTTCTTGATTCTCTTAGCTTTTGTGACTGTTCACCCCCAAGGAATGACCTTTGCAAAGTTCGAAACCAGGTGATGTGAAAATGCAAACAAACAGTTCCTTTTAGATTTACCTTGCGGCATCTTTACAACTGATTTGAAGTATGTATTTTAAATTTCATCTAACCTAACAGATCACGGTTTTAAAATGAGTAACAAAACTGACTGAAATGCTGCAAAGCTACACCTGGATTTTATTTCTTTTCTCAATAGTTGGGGACTCTGCGGAGCCTAGAGGTCATGGCCAATGGAAATGGGAGTTTTTCTTACAGGCTGCTGGTCCTCTCAGTAAGGGAATGCATGTTCCCTATGGTGTCGGGTGAGCTGTGATCTTGGAGTTCAGCTTCACAGCAAGGGGGGGACCGATGTGTGGGTGCATGTGACAGAAGGACACCAACAGGTCAAAGCGGGCACACTCTTTGGGGTCCCTCTCTGCACAAAAGACGGTGTATAGGAGATGAAGGGGCCCATCACTTAGGTTGGAAATGCAGGGGCCAGCTCTGAGGCCCATTCCAGGATTTCCAAAAGTAGAATGTACTTTTTGTGATCCACCTCCCCCCCACGAATCAGGGCCATCATGTACAGCTGTACAAGTCACACCCTGCGTGCAGGGTGAGTGTGAGCTGAAATCCAGTTTGGGTTCCAGTCGTCAAACAGCACACCTCCTGGCTGGGGCTTGCCGCCTACCGGGGGTGGTAACGTAATGCCATCATTCTAACTGGCGCCAAGACAGCTGGTGGCATCCGTCACTACTCCGCTCAAGTCTCTGCTCAAGAAGTAGTAACTGGTGAAGTATAAATCCTGGCCTAATGAGAGCCAACAAATGGCAAGACAAGGATTTAATATCAGTCAGCTCAAATCCTCAAGAATGAATTTTGCGGGCTGCAGAGGTTTCAGGATGCAGCTGCCCAGCTGTACCTGAACTAATTTCATGTGCTAAGAAGACACTTCACAGAACCAGAGCAAGAGCGAAGAGATGGGGCTTTATATAAAAGGGAGGTGTGATGAGAAAATGAGAAATGCGTGCCTATGGAGCTGGGCGCCTTTAAACAGCTAAAGTTTGGCCATATTAGATGGCAGCCTTTTAAAAAAACATATCACACACATAGCTTCCTGCCTAAGTACTTGGGCCTATTTAAACATTTTTCTTGGCTGCCAATGGATAGAAAATATCACTGTGGTCATTTCAGGGCCTCGGGAGGCGCTCGGACCCTAAAGCACCATGTTCTGTCTGGGTTTCCTGACGGCGGCCATGTGTGTGCACAGAGCAGGAAGCAGAGCAGACCGAAGGAGCTCCCCATTACATAAAAACATGCTTGTATGAAGACCTCATGACGTCTCTTTGGCCGTTCCAACATTATACCTGCTTCCTAGTTCTAAGTGTGTCCTTAAAAGTGATATAGCAAGTTGGCGGGAAGAAGAGCATTAAAAAAACTCAGTATCGGGCGCCTGGGTGGCTCAGTTGGTTATGTGGCTGCCTTCGGCTCGGGTCATGATCTCAGGGGTCCTGGAATCGAGCCCCATGTTGGGGGCTCCCTGCTCAGTGGGGAGCCTGCTCCTCCCTCTGCCCCTCCTCCCTGCTTGTGCTCTCCCAAAAAAAAAAAAAAAAAAAAACCCCCCTCCCTGTGATAATGTATTATTTGGCCTTTGTCCCAGGTTCCTGACACAGAGTTTCTAAATCCTTTAAAATTTCCTGATAAGGGATAATAGGAGCATTTTTTGTTATGTCTAATAAAACTCCTTTTCAACCATACCTGAATTTGTGCTAATGAGATGACTCTGGGTGGGTCCCTAAATAGCTTTAGGATGGGGACAGCTGTCAAAGGAACTAACCCTGTGATTAGAGGGTTGAACTCTGTCTCACCTCCAGGTCTCTAGGAAGAAGCGAGGGCCTGGAGACTGAGCTCAATCACCAGTGGCCAATGATGTAATCGACTGCCTAATGGACCGTCCATAGAGACCCTTAAATGATGGGTTCAGAGGGCTTCCAGGCTGGTGAAGACAGTGAGGTGCCGGGAGGGTGAGGAGCCCTGAGAGGGCACAGAAGCTCTGTGTACCCCTTGGCTCTCATACTACCTTGCCCTACGTCTCTTCCGTTTGGCTGTTCCTGAGTTACATCCTTAATAATTTGATAAATCAAAGTGTTTCCCTGAGTTCCATAAGCCATTCTAGCGAATTAGTGAACCTGAAGTGGCAGGGCGTAGGGTAGAGGGAGTGTCACAGAAATCCCCATTTCAGTGGTGACCTGGGACTTACGACTAGTGTCTGAAGTGGGAGCAGTCTTGTGGCCCCTGAACCCTTAACCTGTGGGCTCTATGCCACTCCAGGTAGTTAATGTCAGACTTGGATGGAATTGTAAGACACCCAGTTGGTGCCTAAAGAACTGGGGGACTTGCTGGTGTTGGAAAAAACACCACACGTGGGGTCAGAAGTGCTGAGCGTAAAAACGGTTCATATGGTCTGCTCTGAGAACTCAGGGTCATTATCAACTGCACAATTGTCAGTTTTTAGCTTGTACTGCTGCTAAAACAAAACCTGCTGGTAGCCTCTAAGCTTAATGCAGAGCTTTGCCCTTTCCTCTGGGCCAGGCAAGGTTTGTTCACCTCAGGATTTGAATGAAGAGTGACATTGACAGTTAGCTTGAAGAATCCTAAAAACAAGGTTCTTAATCTTTAAAAGTGCTTAAGGATTTTAGAAAGCATGCCAGTGAAAGGCAGAGAACGCATTCTTACCCAAGCCCTCGATAGCAGTATTTCCTCCGGAACTGAAATGCGTTCTGAACGACCTTCTCCACCAGCTTGAAGGGCTGCTCGATCCTGGGCTGCACCAGGGGGGTGAAGTGCACCACGCCCACGTCCACCTTCATCGTGAGCAAACATACATCATTTTGTGGCATGGTAGAATATGATTAAACAATTCGTCTTTGTCAAACACAGGTGGACGGGTTGTTGACCGCATGGTTCTCATAAACCCTTACGTGGACTCCGGCTTCATCTTCTACAGGCAGGTAAGCTGTTGCACTTGGCTTTGAGCTGACTCAGAGCCATCCCGTGCGTCTGCTCTGTAATGACATCCACTAGACCTGTGCTTGATGATCACTTAATTTTAAAATGTAGTTTTACAATGGCCTTTAAGATCAATCCAAATCATCATTAAAGTCAGGAGGCAGCTAACAGATAGCTTTAGAGTATTTTATTTAGCTTTGGAAAGTGTAAAAAAAATAAGCTGCAGCAGCAGTTCTGGCTATAAGCTGGGCTTCCAAACACAGAAGAGAAGGCAGATGGCCCCCCAGGGACCACTAAGTGCTAAACTCCCCAGAAGGGGAATCAATTAGGACACGATTTGCTTTGGGCATAGACACTGATTAACCAGCTGGACCGCATTCATGACTGTCATCTGCACGACCACATCACTTTTTGGGAGCAACGTGAAATGCCCCCGGAGGCCCAGGCAGGATCAACTAGGAAGTGGAACCCCCCCAAATGTCACTGAGTGGTGAACTAGCACTAGCAGTTGAGATTTCTTTAATTATCAGAAAATAAAACTTTTCAGGCATATCTGTTAGGAGATTTATACCCTGTCTCTATATTCAAAATAACAAAGGAATAGTATGGAAAGTAAAGACAAAGGGAGAAACAGAGTCAAAGCAGTCACCATGCACAAAAATGCCTGACAGAGACCACGGTCTAACAAATGCGAAGTCTGTTCGTAATTTACAAAAGCCTTGGTCTCTAAGGAATTGTTAAATTTGCTACTTAGAACATCACACGGACTCTACAAAGGCTAAGAAAGTACAGCAATTGATGAAGTTGGGGTCGTACCACTGCTTCTCAGAAGGAATTCATTCCATTTTTTAAATTCCACGGGGGTTATCTTGTTCTCTTGGAAGGCCTTGCTTCTAAAAATCCCTTGTGGCTACAAAACTTAAAATCAGTCTGTCATACCTGAGAATGGCAGTGTTTTCAGTTTCTTGATTTTAGGATGGAGGAAAAGTACTTGTATATGAGGTGTGGACAAGGAAAGAAAATGAAGACGGGCCCATCATCAGGGGGCCTGGACAGGCTTTTGGAGTAGCCAGTGGTGTTTCTCCTGCTGCCATGACGTACCCTTTCCTCGAACAATCACTGATCCTGTCCCGACTGTTTCAGATTAGCTACGGTGCCCCTACGGAATAACTAGAAGAAGTCCACGGTAGGCACGCAGAGGACGGCCTAGGCAGTAGAGTGAAAACCTCCAGCAGAGAGGCCTTTCCGCACCAACTCCCCTAAATACCCATCAGCCTTCAGGCTACTTTGGTGGGACAGGAGTTACTCCACTTCAGAGAGTGACTACCTGTAATGTTAAATGTTCTCATTAAATTTTAATAGTTTTTCAAATTGGGTTCTATGTGCTGCTTAATCAGTTTCTCCAAGTTTGGTAACAGGTACTTCTATAGGAAACGAAGCGCTTGGTTAAAAGGCCAGGACTTTCTGTAGACCGGCACAAAACACCACCAGGGTCCAGGGGTCTGGGAGAGGTTTGTGATCAAGAGAGCAGAGAGAGGCACTGAGGAGGATAAGGACTGTGGAGGGGGCCTCGGGGTTTAGGTGGAGTGAACAGGAGCACTACAGTAAACAGGGAAGAAAAGACGGCTTCATCTGAAAGCATTTCTGTGGCCGGAAAAAGAGCTAATCTGTGTGGAGGGCGCTGGAAGAAGCTGCCCCAGATACACTGTCATGACTTTAATGTCAAAGACTCTGCTCACAAACTCTGAAACACCCTCCCCACCTTTCCTCCTATTGATATGGAACAGAGAAGTGAACCCAGCTGTCCAGGAAGGTTCCAGGCCTCGCCCTGCCCCATCACTCTACACCTCTCCATCTGGCATCCCATCCCGGTCCCCCACTCTGCCGCCCTCCAGGACTCAACTCCTCCACCCTTCTCTGCCGATTCTTCCCCAGTCCAGTCAGTTTGGATGGTTTTTCTTCACAGGTACCAGCTGTGATCCAACAGCCTGCCATTCCCCAGGGAAATGAATCTTTCAGCAAAACAGGAGACACAGTTTGAGCCCTAGGCCAACCCCAGCCCATGAAATACTATAAAAACTCTATATAAGGCACAAATACAGGTTTAGATACATTCTCCTTCCAGTACAGAAACTGCCACTGCCAGCTTCTTTGGATTTTAAAATTTGGCCTCCTCTTTATTTGCCTGATTTTATTCCTTTGAGATAAGGTTGGTGTTTGCAAAAACAGGAAATGTCTCACATTGGCTTTAGATAAAGTTTTTTAAGCCCTGTACCAATATAGCAGCACCCTATGTTAACTGCAGCAGCCTTCTAAAGTTTGAATGTAATTTTGTTACCCAGTTAAGTCGGCTAACAGTATATCCCAGCTACAAGAAAATACCCACTCACCATCCAATACAGTTCCTACTTAGAGGAGGACCCTGAGGAACTCAGTGTGAAAACGGCTATTCCAGCAATGTGTCCTGCTTCTCCGGGAAACCTCCCGTACTCTTCTCTACTCCTGCCCCCAAAAGCACTTTTCAGAATTACTCTGAATGATGGAGCCCATTTTTCTCTAGAAATACAGGAAAGCTGCTCGGTAACTAGGGTAACAGATACAGAAATGCTTTTTACTTATAATTGAATGAGTATTTAAAAATTGCAACCATTATTCTTCCTTCCCTGAATTTTAACTCTATTAAAGGATTTCCTTACAAAAAAAGAAATCAGTACATAGGCACTAGATACATTTAAAAATTCTATTTTAATGTTGTCAGTCCCTTTCTAAATTCAGTCTATTGGTATACCAAAATGACCTACTAAAACTTCAAATTAAGGGATTTATAGCGAATTTAAATATTTGCCTCTCAAATCCACTCTAATATCAATGCTGTACCAAGCTGAGATTATGTTTCTCAACATTAGCAGCCGTGGCTACAAAAGGCTGCAGGCAGCAGTTTCATTTTCCAGGCCAGCATGTCTAGGGCATGACTGGTTATGAGCTCAGAGCTGCACTTTAGACTTCTAAGAGACCTGGGATAAGAAGCTATTAAATCTCTAGCCTTAGATACTGCCAACTCAGATCTCGAGTCACCATGAGGATAGAGAATGCTGAAGAATGGGCAGTCTGTTCCTGACGGAGAATCATCATATGCCAAAGAGCTAACTTACCACGCCCATGAAAAGACACAGGCACGACAGGAGCCATTAGCTAAGACAGGGTCTTCGACCCTTCCCCTGGCATTCAAGACCGTGGAAGGAAAAATCATTAAGGAGCTATCGTTTATAATTAGCTGAACTAGAACCATAACCGGGAGAGGACAGAAGGTCGAGAAAGAAGGGCAACGGAATAATCAATAAGCCTTCAGGAGCAAGAAGAGAAGGATTTTCATAGTTCAAGGTGGCACTGTCTCCGACAGACTCGTGTAGATGGGAATGGGAAGGGTGTGGCTGGATCTGAGGTGCCCGGCACCACCTGAGGTTTGGGGGAGTCACATTCAGCGTCAGGTGAAATGGCAGATCGAGGTGAGCAACCTGGGAGATGCTTGGGTCCTGCACCCACCAGAGTCTGACTCTTCAGGTGCCTACACTGAGCTAGTGTCAGCCTCCAGGTACAACTGCCCTGGATACGAGTAACAGAGCGGGAAGTCACTAACGCCTGGGATACTCTAATTACATGTTTTGTAGAAAAACATCCACAAATACGAATGTACATCAGATTTCCTATAACTGGTTTATTCTGCAATTTTTGTCCTAAGCCCAATTTAAGGACAGAATTTCAGTTTTAAAACCTTAAAATGCAAACACTTTAACAGCATCCCAGATGTTCTAAACCAAAGTATTCAACAAGGGCTGACACACTGTTCGTACCTACACATCTCTCTTTAAAGTTTAGAATTTGTATTTTCTATAGCAAAATTAATTTCTACAGAAGTTCAGCCCCACCTTTCTTCCCTCCTATAGATTTCTGAATGGTTTTTCTCTCTTTCCTCCTCAGAATCACAACACAGTCACAGCATTTCCCCTCAGAGCATAAGTATGTAAGAGAACAGAGAATGGCAGTGAGCTGAGAGCACGATGAGGAATAAGCCTGAGAGAGGCCCACGTGAGAGGAGCAGATGGAGAAAGTATTTTACAGGGTAAGTTATGCACGTAAGTGTATGCATGTAAGTAAATGTATGCATGAATGAATGTAAATTGTGCCTATTAGTAATAACAGCAGCAAGATGAGTCAGGGTCTCTTGGTCCCAAGTTGGGAAACAATTTCAAGGAGGTGAATGCTTAATTCTAAACGAAGCACAAGAGGGACAAGAACTATCAAACATCACATTAGGGTTCTCAGTTGTATTTAACCTGGAGCTCCCGGGTGAGCCTTGGGGAAAACACCCTTCTAAAACCAGGACCTTCGCCATCAACCATGCCTTTGGTGTTGGTGAACGGCAGCACCTGGAGGCGTCCGCCCCTGCTGCGGCCACAGGTGGTAGCACCCCGGGCAATCACGAGGCCCGGCCTCCGCCCCGGCAGGCCCAGCGAGGCTCCCGCACCTCCGAGCCAGGGAGACGTCGAAGCTAGGCAGACTCACAAGGCCCTCCAATAAATACTGCTGCTATGGAAAACGGTAGAAGACTCATAAATGAACATGGAGGCAAATACATTAATTCATAAGGAGCCCTGACCGCCAAAGAGACTAGGCGCGAACTCGAGCTGCCTTGTCAGTGCCTCCGTCTCCCAGGAAACCACCGCTACGATTAGAAGACCGAAGACCGTGCAGCGCCACGGACGGGAGCAGCTATCCACAGACTGATGGTCGTAATGGTCACGGCACCAGCCCGAGGGCCTGACTCCTCAGCGGCACAAGCAGAGCCGGATTCTCCTCAACCACGTGCTGTAAGCACCCAGACCAGTGCTCCTTCGGC